GCAAATTCAAAAACCGAAACCGAACCGAACCGAACCGAATTTCGGTTGGGCCGAATATTCGGATGAAGGGAAAAAAATCTGGATCTGGATGAGAGTTTTTGAGAATTTAAAAAATTCGGATTGTATGCGGATTGGGCATAAAACAGAACCGAACCAAATATGCCCAACCCTAGTAGTAATGATAACCAATTCATGTAAAACAACAATATAGCCCTCGGTTATTAAGGCATCTAAAATTTTAATAACGGTTTTTCTATAGAGTGCCCTTGGGCACTCTATAAGAGAGGAGAGAGATAGAGAGAAATGAATGAGGAGGGGGGCCCCCCTGATTTGCATTGGGATCCTCTCTTCATTCATTTCTCTCTATCTCTCTCCTCTCTTATAGAGTGCCCAACGGCACTCTATAGAAAAACCGTTTTAATAATATGCAAATGTCCATAATTTATCACACAACATTAACAACACTTTCCCAGGTGATTCAATTTACTCAAATCAAAGAGTAAATTTTAATCGTCATCTTTGCACAAGGAAACCCCACTTATAATTCATCACCTTCATCAATATACCAACAACTACTTGCTCCACTTCAGTTTCCAGAGTACTGCATGGACAAACCCCATTAATTTGATCGATCTCCAAAATATTAATGAAAGAACCCAATAAAATAATATTAAACATGTCCTTTTTAACCTCAAAACTCACAAAAAGTGACCTAAAGAAACCCTAAACTCCAGCTCAGTAAAAAGTGAAGACTCCTCCGGTTGAAGAACTCCTATAATTAAAGAAGATCCAAGAGCACAAAGTTCATGACCTGCTTTAACTGAAGCAGGAGATGCCGATGATGATGCTGCTGGTGATGGCAGAGGAGGCCGAAGGGAGAGGGAGAGATCTGATCGTAGCTGGGGAGTCCATTGTAGAGAAAGAGAGAGAGGAAGGGAAGGGAGGGGAGGGGAGAGAGAGAGAGAGGGTTGAGTTGAGAGAGAGAGAGATGGTGATTGTGGAGGGGTATTTTTAGGGTTTACCTTTTATTATTGAGTTGATAGTGTATGAAGGGTTGAAACACAAGATAACAATGTATTTAGGGCTTTTATATAAGGAAAACCTATTCCTCTACACAAATGGGAGAACCCAAGATTCACTATTCATCATACAATAATATTACAGTGCTATTGACTGTAGCGTTACTACTGTGTCAATGAGGGGACGGGATATTGTAGCAATTTTTGATTCAAAAACACTGCAGCAAAAGGGGGTACTGTAGCAATTCAAAAAAAATTTAAAATGTATTGTAGCATTTAAAACCGGGATTACTGTAGCTGAAAAAAAAAGATATGTCGTGCTTTGCACGGTATTCACACTAGTGATATTTGGAGCTAGGACATATGAACTTTTGACTTTTGGAGACTTGACACATTTTTTCCAAAATTAAATCATATAACAGTAGCAGCACACATTCTATTCAAGTTAGCATTTATATTAGTATAAAAAAAAATGTACTTCTTGGTATCTTTAAAACTTACTTACAAAAGGTTCAGGCTTCGACCCACAATAAGGGAAGAGAATGCTTGAAACTTGATTGTCTTTTTATCTCTTTTAAATAGTATTATTAATTATTATTGTTATAGTTCTTATTTTAACATATTAACATATTTATGCTAATTCTGACTCTTAAAGAAGTAATACTACAATAATATTCAATTATCAACAGTCTGAGGATAATAGGAAAGGAGTGAGGTTTTTGTTAGCCTTCATCATCAAACTCCTCACACGTAAAATATGAAATGAGGGATATAGGTAAGAAAAAGCCATTAAAACAATTTTATCAAAATTAGTGTTTTGCGTAAATTAAGACGTGGACCACAAAGACAAAGCCCGGCCACTTGCTTGCAAGCAAACAAAAACCCTAAAGACGTTGAATGGGAGATGGATCAATGTAGATAACAGGGAATCAAAAGGATAAGTGAGAGAGAAAGAGAGGAGAAAGTACAAAAAGGAAGTAAAGGAGAAAGGTAGAAGCAAAAGTTTTATGCGTATGAAGAAGAAACTAAAGGATTTGAGAGTTTATGATTCTCCTCGATGAATGATTTAAGTGATATGGGTGGCATTTGAATTTTCGAAGTTAGAATTATATTCTTCCATGCTTAATGCATCATTGTCACAAGCTAATTATGAGATTAATTAGCTATATATATATATATATATATATATATATATATAGAGTGAATTTCACATGGTGGGGATTGTGTCACATCATTGTCAAGGAAGAAAATCCCCTCCTTAATATGTTTTAGATTGACTCTTTAATTCGTAAAGAATAATAAAAGTGTTGTGAGTGTGATGTATCCCGTAATAAAAGTTTGGGTAAATTTCATGAAAGCCCCTTTAAATTTGGCCCACGTTTTACATGACCCTCTAAACTTTATAAACACGACTCGATCTTCTTAAATTTTTATCGGATAACCCCTAATGCGACTTAGTCTTGATGTGGCAAATAAAAATCAAATGAATTCAGATGACTAAAATACCCCTAATAACAATAGATAAGATGTAACAATTGAATCTTTTTTTTCCCACCTCTAATTTAACAATTTAAGGTACACAATTGTGGTTCTTAAGAGTCATTTAAAATTTCAAGCCGATAAACAAGTGGATATACCTAGTAATCTCCAAAAGATCCATGATAGGCCTATAAGGAGAAAAGGGTCTCAAATAAACAAAATTGATAAATTTGGTGGTAAAGCAAACACCTCAGCATTTCCCCCTTCACTAGATGAGAACTCAAAGGGCACTTTGCCAATTTGGAAAAAGGCAGCCAAAAAAAAAAAAAAAAAGCGCAACGCACATGCCCACTTGCCCCCAAGCAAGCTTACCCCAAGACAGCAGCCCAACAAAATAAAATTAAAAAATAAAAAATATTTAGAATGTCAAGAAATATGAATTATTTGTTGATAAGCCAGAGGGTGTAACCCTTTTTCAATTCATCATCTATTTATACTATCACTATTAAGACCTTAATCTATTACAAATTACGCTTAACGAAATTGGCCTGCAAGTTAACTACGCGTCGACGATCACTACTAAAAAATGAGGCATCCTAGACGGAAAATTCTGTCTAGGATACACAGAATTCCGTTTAGGATGAGTATCATAGACGGAATTCCGTCTAGAATATTTTTTTCTAGACGAAATATTGTAAACGGAAATTTTCTATCTAGTTTAATAGCAAACTAGACGGAAAATTTTTTGTCTAGGATATTCCGTCTAGGATGTGTGATTTTCTACTAGTGGATGCTAATTTTAATCTAATTGTCAATGCCAGCCATGATAAATTTTGATTGTTTCAACATTTAAAAATCTATTACTGGCATATTTTAATTGTGTACAAAGGAATAATTTTCAATGAACGGGTTAAAAGTGCATTAAACAAACAGATCTGTAATTTATATATACTTTGTCTTCAGGATGAATAATTCACACTTTCAAGGGTCAAAAGATTCCAAAGTGAATAAACAAACTTTACAACCTTTCAACATACATATAAAGTAGATTCTTAAGCCAAATATAAAATAGGAAAAAAAATAGCTAAAGTGTGATTAAGAAGAAGAGTATTCGGAATTTACTAAAAATATTTTGGACAATTTTTTAAAAGGACCCTTTTTAAATTTTATATAGCAAAAACGATCTCATGAGAAAATAATCTGCAAAACCTACCATTTTCTTCGGAAAAAGGTTCGGTTTTGCAGTCGCGATGTTTTTCGAGCTACACACGCATTTCATTCTTCTTTCGGATAGTCTCTGCTTAAAAAGGATCCTTTTAAAAATTTATCCTAATATTTTATACATATAGAACGAATGCTCAGCATAAAATCAGAATTGAAATTATTTAATGAATGAAATATATATTTTCTAGAGCCAAGTTGACACAACCCAAAGGCAAAGTTTTATCTAGAGCTTTAGAGCATCTCCAACCGAACGCTTTCCCCTCAAATTGACGCAAAAAATAACCATGTTCATCCTCCAACCGAATGACATCCCCAGCGCCATTTTGGGGGAGAGCTACAGTGCTGCGCCAGATTTGGTGCAGCACTGTAGCTTTGACGCAGTGACATTTTTTTTAGGCATAGAGTTTATTATTTTGTTGGTTTTTAATGTTTCTCTTTTTATTCATGATCAAAATATTTCATGGTAGCTTTTATTTTTTTAATTATTTTGGTAATGGGTTGGAGATGGAATAGTAATTTGGTGTAAAAACTACACCAACTTGGTGTAAAAACTACACCAATTTGAGTTTTATGGTTGGAGATGCTCTTAGACCAAAAATGCCAAAAAAAAGAAAGAAAAAGATTAAGTTATGGTTGTAAATTTGCCCAAGTGTGGGTGCAAGTGTTTATAATCCCCACCCACTAATTTATTTATTTATGTATTTAAATAAAAAATAAAATAAAATAAATAATAAATAAATGAAAAAGGAGTGGCTCCAAAATTTTGCATATAAAAACCCCTCCCCAATACCCCATCCATCGCCTACATCAACAAGTTGCAAGTTGTTCCTCACTTCACTTTCAGATTGGACAAAACCTCCCATTAATTTAATACTAATAAAAAAAACCCCATTAAAAAATATAAAAAAAGTCACCTCTAAGCTAAAAAACTCACAAAAAATGACCTAAAGAAACCCTAACCCAAACCCTAGCTCACCTAAAGGAATGGAGACTCTCAGCAGCCGAAGAACTCCTGAAGAAGATCCAAGAGCTCGAAGCCGGCCACGCGAGGCTCAAGCAGGAGATGTCCAGGCTGATGCCCGCGCGCCGACGGCGTCGGGACGGCGGAGGAGAGGCGAGGGCGCACTCGGTGCTCCCCGAAGAGGACGGCGCCTACTCCGGTGAGGCGGCGGAGCGGGGGTACGATGGCGGCGGGGAGGGAGGAGGGCGATGGGGCCAGCGGGTCTTTTGGGGGAACTCGTCGAGGCTGCAGAGGGAGAGCAAGGGCGGCCGCGGCGGCGGAGGCGGAGCGCGGCCGCGAGCGGGGGTGAGGGGTTTCGGTTGTCGCGCGATCGCAGTATTTGAATATATTGCAGTCAATGGGGCAAGCCGTTCATATTTTTGATCTTGATGGTAGGATTATTTATTGGTAAGTTCACTTGGATGAGAAAAAAGTTTACCTTTTTTTTTTGTCCCTTCCTCTTTTTAGTTAATTTGTTGCTATCTCTGGGTTGAGTTTTAGTTCATAGTGTGTTGTTGAGGTTGATGGGTTATCCGGTTGCAGTTTTCCTTTGATCTGTGCTGAGTTTTTTTTTGGGGGGGGGTTTTGAGTTCACCTGGATAAAGTTGTTTCCTTTCTTTGATTTCTGGGGTTATTGATGTTTGCTTGATAATGGCCAGTTGATAATGGCGTTTGTTTTGTTAGATTTGGGCAACTTGAGGTGTTTGGGTGTTTGGCGAAATGGGTATTTGTTAGTTTGTAGTATTTTTTAGGATCATTTTAATGCTAATGTGGGATGAGTTATGACACTTTGGATGTTTCTGGTAGTAGTATGGGATTATGAGTTGTAGTTGTTTCCGATTCAGTGGCGCTACATGTAGTGAGTCTGTTCTAGCTGACGCGGGCTATGTCTTCATATACTTGATCTTGACAATACCGGTAGTATGTCTTAAGCTCTTTGTCGGACTGGGACCAAATTTATAGGGGTTTGGAGTTTTTGGGGAGGGGTCTTTCATTTTCGGAGCAAACCCTATCATTTCATTAAATCTCCTTGTTTTAGTACAATAGAAATATAGAATGCATCGGACAGTTGGTAAACCTGTGTTGAGCTTGAGGAGAATTTATATACACCCCGAGTAGTCTTTATATAAAGCTCATCTCCACTGCAATGGGCAATTTACTTTCACCTAATTCTGGCAGTAAGCACTTGAAATCAAATATGGTTCCATCAATAGGGGTGGATATGGAGATCCATTTATACAATTACTCAATCTGCATTGACCCAAATGCATCCTGTAAATTTATAATGGATCTGTAAGTGGATAATATACATAATAAACAGTATTTTGGGTACTATGCACAGTAATTAAGTGTCATGGTAATCAATGTAGGAACCGGTCAGCAGAGCATCTTTATGGGTTTTCATCATCAGAAGCACTTGGTCAGAATCCCATTAGCCTGCTTGGAGACCCCTGCGACTTTGAAATTGGAAATAGTATCATCCAACGGAATATGATGGGGGAAAGTTGGACAGGAAAATTTCCTGTCAAGAACAAATCAGGGGAGCGCTTTGTAGTCATTGCCACTAACACTCCATTCTATGATGACGACGGTGGTCTCGTTGGAGTAATATGTGTAGCGAGCGATTCACGGTCGTTGCAGGAAGTGGCAACGTCTTCCTGCTGTCCAAAACCTATGGCATCTGGCTCTAACATATTTAGTCGGCCGAGAATCGGTTTAACTAGCAAAGGAGGTTCAGATTCGCAGCAACCTCTTCAAGTTGCCATTGCTTCCAAGATATCGAATCTGGTGAGTTAATTTCTAATGCCAAAGTAACCTGTGGCTTTGGTCTCTACCTGTCCCCTAAACTATTGAATTTTTCTCTGTTTACCCCCGAAA